CAATATTATTTAGCGAATGCGGCAGATAAATCAAAAGGGGTAGCCATAATATTTGCAAAACACATCAACTTTCTCGTACAGTTAGAGATTAAAGACCCCGAAGGACGTTACATATTGTTGAAGGGCACCATTGGGGATCAGTTGTTCACGTTTATTTCTTACTATGCCCCAAACACAGCGCAAATTGCATTCTTCACCCACGTTTTCACCACTCTCTTCCCTCATATAGAGGGTATAGAGGTAGTGGCTGGAGATTCCAATCTGGCTCTGGACCTTAGTATCGACAAATCACACCCCCAGGGTACTGGATTGAAATACCCACCCAAACATGGATTTAAACTGGCAAAGCTCCTTCAAGCGCACCACCTTGTGGACGCGTGGCGAGAGTGTAACCCCTCCAAGAGGGACTACACCCACTTTTCCCACGCTCATTCTACATATGCCCGTATAGACCATATATTTGTTCCTCCTCGGATGTTGGTGGGCATTAGATCTGTGCAAATTAGAGAGACCAGTTGGTCGGATCATGCTATGGTCGTGATCACCTCTTCTTTGGCCTACCCCACCCGTGGACAATATCATTGGAGACTGAATGAGGCATTTCTTAGTGACCCGAAGGTGGTGGCGGAAGTAGAAACCCTACTGACTGAATATTTTCGTATCAACACCCCTTCAGTGTCCTCGTCCATTACCAACTGGGAGGCACATAAGGCCATCTTGAGAGGGCACTTTATTTCCATTGCGACGCGTGAGAAACGCCAGCGAACCTCCCATATCTCCAAATTAGAGGAGGAACTAAGGGCTCTGATAAATGTACATAAACACAATCCCACAAAGGCCCTTAGGGACAATATAGATCAGACCCGGTTGGCTTTGAACTTGACACTCACAACGGTGGCAGAACGAAATCTCCGCTGGGCTCAGCAGAGATTCTACTCGCACAGAGATAAGGTGGGGCACCTTTTGGCTGTGAGGCTAACTCCTAAGCCTTGGAGCCATAAGATCCCTAGGTTGAGATGTGCGAGTGGAAGTTACACGCAGAATCCTAAGGTGGTGGTCCAGGTGTTCGAATCCTTCTATACTAAGCTATACACCAATATCCATGATATACAAAAAAATTATCAATACAGCAATGGATACGAACTTTGCCAATTCCTAGTCTAGAGGCGGAACATATAGCCTTATTTGAAGAACCAGTCACGCAAATAGAAATCAAGCAAGCTATTAAACAGACAAAAACATCTTCAGCCCCAGGACCAGACGGTTTCTCATCTGGTTACTATAAAAAATTTGAAGAAATACTTCTCCCCCATCTTGAATCCTTTTTTTTGGCTATCGGTAGGGGAGAGCCTATGAGTTTGCACATTAATGAGGCATTTTTAAGCTTAATTCCTAAACCCAATAAAGATCATGGGGAAATAGCCAATTACAGGCCTATATCTTTGATCAATAATGATCTAAAACTGCTCACAAAAGTGCTAGCCAATAGATTAAATTCTTTTCTATCCACCTATATACACTAAGATCAAGTGGGGTTCATAAAGGGGAGGCAAGGGCCAGATCAAATCCATAGGGCAATTAACATACTATCTTTATTGAGATCAGGATGGGATAATACTCCAATTTCCACTGGGTTTTTCTTATCAGTGGACCTTCAAAAGGCCTTCGACTCAATATCCTGGACTTATCTTTTTACACTTTTAGAAGAATGGGGCTTTGGGGCAGGGTTTATTCGCTTGCTACGGAACTTATATTCCTCACCTGTAGCCACCATTAAGATGCAGGGATTTAAATCAGCCCCAATACCGATAAATAAGGGTACTAGACAGGGATGTCCCCTGTCACCCCTATTATTCGCATTAGCGATTGAGCCGCTGGCTATTTCGATAAGGGAAAACCCAGACATTAAAGGAGTGCACTGTGGACCTAGAGAACACAAATGCGCCTTATTTGCAGACGACTTATTGCTGTTCCTAACCCAACCATTGATTACACTTCCCAATGTAATGGCATCCTTGGAGAGTTTTTCGAAGATGTCGGGGCTCTATATAAATCCAGCTAAGTCTGTGGCTTTGAACATAAATTTGCCCCCAGAGATGGTGACTACACTGAAGGGTGCGTTTCTGTTCTCATGGCCGGCATCTACGATACCCTACTTGGGGATTAATTTGACCCCCTCCTTTGACTTATTGTACCAAGCGAATTTCCCTCCCACTTTCAGGAAACTGAGGGGGGACCTGGAGAGGTGGTCTTCACACAATCTTTCATGGTATGGGAAAATAAATGCTATTAAGATGACTCTGCTTCCTCGTCTGCTATACCTCTTTAGGGCCCTCCCTATCCACGTCCCTAGATCCGAACTGGCTTCCTTTCAGGCTATTCTAATGAAATTTATATGGGGGGGAAGGGGTCACCGTCTACCTAGAGTCACACTATATAGCGCCAGAGAGTCTGGGGGGCTAGGGGTCCCAAATATATATCATTATTATCGGGCCGCACGGATAGCTCAGCTATCTGCTATTTATGTAGCGGAGGAACCACCAGATTGGGCTCTTATGGAATCCAAGGCAGCTAGAGCTATTTAATGTCCGCTGTTGATCAGAAGCCAAATCTATCCTTAAAGTTCCGAAAGTTTCTAAAGCGCTTTGGCTTTGAATGTGAGTTGCTGATTTTTCATGTTTTTTGAGGCCCCTTGATAGTATCTTCAAATCACAAAATTCTGTGTTAGTCCAAACATTGTCGGTAGTGCAGAACAGAAGACAGGGAAAGCAGTAAAGACGGTTTTTGGTAGCACACCACACAGCCAGTCTTTTCATGTCACAGGTCAAGACTGAGCACAGCAACAAGACACAAGGTAGTTTCTGTTTAGGGGACGGCCATACAAGAAAAAACTGTAAATAATTTTAACAAAAATAAAAAAACACAATTGATTGCTAGTAGCAATATATTAATGTGAGACCATCTAGATCATGGCTCAAAATTTCCACTCGCCCCCTCGCAATTGGCGAGTGAAAATTGCGTGGGGAAATCCAGGGTGGGGGGACTTCCGCCGCTTCGGCAGCGCCGATCGCTGTCTGTTTCCTCCACCCGCTTCTTGGAGCGGCACCGCAGCCTCCGACGGCCGGGCGGCTGCTCCCTCGGCCCTGGCCACGCCTCCTC